TGTGGCTATCCTGTAAGGGCAGGAGAGGTCCTGGGATGCTATCCTGTGTGTGGGGCACTATATAAATGCAAGTTGTTCCAACACCCCTCCCCTATGGAGGTGGAAATGCCTGATTACACCAGTGAATAATAGCTACTTGAGTGAGGTAAGAGGGCAGCACCTGTGCAAATGTACCCACCCAGTAAAAGGTAGAGTCAACAGTCAAAATGCCTTCAGGAAAGAGGAGAAAGGTCGGTGGGGGAGAAACAAACTCAGCAACACATCAACATTTTAAGGCACAAACAGGTAATAACAGGTTTCACAGTGAGATTGAATACACCACACTCGCAAACCAACAACAAAAAGAACTGCTTACATAGTATAATGCCCCTCACGCAGGGTAGTGTCCCAGAGCGCAAACCAGATACATTGTGTTAATTGTGAATTCCCATTGTTAGTTTAACCTTTAATGTCCCACGTTTCTTGGGGATGCTTTCCTAGGGTTGGGTCTGAAGGGAATATGGATAGAGTTTTACTTTGCATGTAACAGAGCTACAGCGAATCTGGGAGCACTTGATGTTATGACCTGAGGGCAACAGAGGTGGAACAAGTGTTGTACTTGAACACCCTTCGAAGTACAGAACTGAACCGACATTAAATCTGTTCATGTGATTTTGTACATTTCAAATTTTCTCCATTAATTTGCACCAAGCTAACATTGAGTGGACAAACATTTGAGAGACCATGAAGCCAAGGGCAGATACTGCATAATGCTACCGCAGCATTAAAGAAATATATGTACATCTGTTATCTCCAGAAACACTGGGACGATTGTTTTCTTTATGTGATTACGCTGACTGCTTGATAACTGAAAATTCTGAAGATTTATTTGGGGAAGGATAAATGATGCATGAAATAAAATATTTAAACGGCGCTAATCTAACGAAACAGTGCATTGTCTCAATTTTCACACATGATCAGATTCCTTCTGCAAATGCACTTCTGAATATATCAATACATATTCTGTTTCCAAAGCTTCATTCTGTTGGACTCTGTTCACTATTGATTGCTTCGTTTCCAGCTACCACAACCTGCCCCCTGGAACTCTCTTTCCCTCACTTCCTGCCTTGAAAAAATGGCTGGAAAGTGTAATATGTGATGCAAGTGAGTGAGTGATAATTAGTCCCAAGGGAACATCTACCCGACTTGTTTGAAAACGGTTTGCCCTAAAGCCAGTTTCTGCAGCTACGAGCTGGCTGACGGCTTTCTGACGCTGCCACTGTGCAGGTTTCAGTGGCAGTTCAAGGAACATCAGCTTAGTTCAATTTAAACAGCACCGGAGAAACCAGCCTTTATGCAAAATGATTAACGGCAGCAAAAATGTAACAATAATTCTTGTATTTAGTATAGTGCCTGTAATGTTCAGCGATAATTGCTATAAAGTGAAAGGACTGTCTATTTGTAGTTGAGTGGGGCACCAATTTGTACACAGGCACAGACAAAAATGTTTAACTGAAGGAATGTTGACCAGGACACTGAGAAAACTCCTTTCTCTTTTTGAACAGTGTCACAGGATCTTTAACATCCACCTGAACGCCCACCAGATAGGATTTCAAGTGAAGGATGGCCTCTCTAACAATGCAGTAGAGGTTCTCCCAGCACAGCATGAGCAACGTCAGCTTCAACTGTCAGCTCAAAGTCCCAATTGTAGGGCTGAATCCACAGCCTTCTGACCCTGAAATGAGAGCACTACCAACTGAGCCAGGCTAACACCTTGCACTTTAGAAGCATTCCACAGAGACATCAAGGATCTCTGGGGGAGGGGGGTTGTCCTTGGGACAACCTAGTTTTCCTCCCACCTCCTTTGCCTTCACTCTTATCTCCAATGCTCAGCTTCCTGAGCAGTTGATTCAAGTCAGAAGGGCATGTGATTCAGAGCAAGAAATTTCTACACTAATCACAGTCTTATCACCAATTGTGATAAACTGTTCCCATCCCCCTCCTCTACCTTCCAGGTCCTAGTGCCCATAATAGTTAAGCCACAAGGTAGGGTTTGCTAGATTTGCATCTTTCCTGTGCAGGGAATGTTCTATAAAGCTCAAAACACAAGACAGGAGCTCATGGTCCAGGGGCTGACACCCCATTGGGTGTTTCAAAATGATCCTGTACTATAACATTACAAGTTTCTTTAAAGATACATCCTTAATCTTCAATGTGAAACTTGGTGAGGTGGGTTTATCATCTCATCCAACGGAGGAAAATACCTAAGCACTAAGTCTTTTACACGGGTTTAGCCGAAGGACATTAGATTGGTGCTAATTCAATGAGTACAGTAACTTCACACCTCCAAAACTTCCTACCTCTATCTGGCCCCTTTCTGCCAGGTGGGTGTTAATAATCCCTCAACACAATTGGGAAAAAGGGATAGATACTCCTAGTGTCCTGACCAAAAAACCTTTCACGTAAATTGGTCATTCTCCTCCTAATTTGTTGGCAAAATGGCTGCCAAGTTTGCCTAGAAGTAGTCATGACTACGCTTAACAGTAATTATAAAACACTTTTAAGCTTCTGACAAAAGGAGACACCATAAAAATACAAGTCTTCACATTGGTGAGGTATGGGTGGCTCCCACTGTCCAGCTGAAAAAGAGTCAAATGGCAGCAGGAGAGGGGTAAATTGGCCCTCCTCCAAAAGGCCATTTAATCTTTTTATCCTGTGCTGAAGATCTACAGCGATTTATAAAATGAATCGACTTATGCATTCCACCTAATCCTCTAAATTCTGATTCCTTCAGCCAGACTGAAAATCCAGATATCAGACCTGACTGCTCTCACCTACTGGAGCCACAGGGGTCACTTCAAGACAGTAGGCACTGATGGACGTGTTAAAGTGTCTACCGTCTTTGTAACAAGTCATGTAATTCCTGCAGGAAGAAAACAGTTTAATTACTTGGGCAAGCCTTCAGTCACACTGTCTGAGTCTCCCGTAATTGTATTTTAAATAAGTAATTTATATGCAAAGTGTGTTTGAAAGAGACGGCAGGCATCAGAATAGGATATGCATAGAACACAGAACGAGTATCAGTTACTGGCTAATATGTGTTGGAAAAACACTGAGTGGAGGTGGGGGGGGGGTGAGAGAGGGAAGGAGAGGAGATTCTCTGGACCTGGGGTAGTATTGAAATGAAAGCAAATCTCTGTTTAAGATAAAACGCTGTTTGAAATTGGAAGCCTATCACTTTCCTTCAGCTTCTGTCGGCACCGGTAAAGCCCTTGGAACAAAATACAATCTGCCCAGCGCGGCTTTTAAGGCCGGCAAACAGACAGGGAAGTGTAATGTGGAGATAAATTAATTTAAAGAGTCAATGCCTGCACTGCATAAGGCTTATTAATTTCAATTGGGTTTCTTCAGCCACAGAACCTTGCGACTTCATTAAACATCCATTAGAGATCTATTTAGTATAAACTCTCAATTTCTGAAATGAGATTCAATTCAGAAACTGGCTGGCTTTGACATTCAATGTGCAGTCAGTGTATGGGGGAGGAGTAGGAGAGATGGGAGAGAGGAGTGATGCGGTGGTGGGGCGGGGGGAATTGGAGGAAAGAGTGTAAATTGAACGATTCGAGGGATTGGTAATTTGGGGAGGGCAAATTTGCAGGGCTGTAAGGAGAGAGCGGGGAGTGGGATTAATTTGGATAGCTCTTTTAAAAGAGCCAGCATAGACACGATGGACTGAATGGCCTCCATCTGTGCTGTATTATTCTATGATCTGGTAGTTCAGCTCATCTCCCTCAGGGATGAAACCCCTGCCCCCACGAGCTGGTCCATAGATCGGCAGCAGATATGGTCGTTTTACCAGATTTCTATCCCATCCTCCCTTTTTTTGGGCAGCCTGGTGTCTGAAACATACGGAAACCCATCACCATGCTTAATCCCTTACAGATCGAGACATTGCAGGCTAACATTTTCTTGCTCTGCACAGGTCACATACTGCTCATGACTACCCAGCCAGTACTCCTTCCCCACACGCAACTCTTCCCCGCCATTCCATGCTGCATAACACATTAACACAACTCATTCCTTGGCTACAATTGTTATAAGTTCCTTTGTCTTGTATTTTTTGTATGAAAATCTTGAATGGATCCTTGCTTTTATAATTATGAGTGGGACAGGCCATCTGTCCGCACACCGCTACATTTCCTGACCTCTTGTGTTTTTTTTACGTGCAGGTTACCGAGGCCGGTTGATTTACTGACCCACAGTCTTACAACACAGTGTCTTCGCTTTATTGGTCAAGGTACCAGAGGCCTGAAATCCCACCGAGCCTTAGCCCACAATGTGGGGGGGGGGGGGGGGGAGGGGAAAGAGAATTCACTCACACAGCCAGATCGAGAGTGGGGGGGGGGGTGGGGAGGTTGGGAGATCATTGCGGCCAGACATCCACAAGCAGCAATTTTCTATCTATGAGGATATCAATAACAATAACCACATGCATTTATATAGTGCCCACCATGATGTATCACACTGTACACCGCAATGCACCCCTACTCCACGAACAATGATTTGATCCACAAGAAATAAACACTGCAAAGCAAACCAATAAAAGGAGTTATCACTCGATCTTTAATTAGGAGAAAAATCGAGGAGCGAGACCAATGATTAAACAAAGAGGATCTTCAGAGCACAAAATATATTTATGGATGCAAATTATAACTGTGTTGAAACCATTAAGTACTGGAGACAATTATACAGTGTAAGCTCACAGTGTGGCTGCACGATTGATGCCCAGCAGAGCAAAATACTGTGGGGATGAGACTTCAATTAGACCGAAGAGTAGCAAAGCCATAATAGTTTTTGTTTCATTCTCTCCACCCCCTCACACCATCCCCCATTCCACTCCCCCATGACAAACACCAAACTATGACTATCTTCTGCCCTGATCTCAGAGGCTTTGTGCAGCTCAGGTCACCAGAAGTGACAATACTGTGTGAGGCAAAGACACAAAGCTATTAGACACTTACTTGAGGGAGAGCGAGTATTCATTCTTGCTGGTCTCACTGTTCCTGACCAGGTAGCTGGCTTCTTTACACAGTCGCAGGAGGCTTTCTGCATCCGTACGACCTACTGCACCGTGATACCAGCTGTGGAAGTAAAAGCAAATTGTTTGCTCAGCCTCAACCTGTCCGTCTTCTGACAAAGAAATTTCACAACATGGCTGCTCAGTGACATCTGCATCTGTGTTGTCCTTTCAGAGGTAGCCTTGACGATTATTCACATTCCCAGTGATTGCCACCTGGGAAAGGGTACATCTCCTCAACAATGTTCTAAGAATTGTTAGGAGCCTGACGTGGCTGGTGTATGGGTCAAAGATTTGTGGGGTGCATGTGGGGTGTAGTCTAGGGCTTGGCTACCCTGGGCTGTGCTCAAATCTGTTAAAAGACACACACCGGCTGATCCATTCACCCAGGTATTGATTATCAGAATTAACCGCAATATTTAAACATTGATTAAATGAAAAAAAAATGTTCTTCCAAATTTCTTGAAACTGGAGCGGGGATGGGGAGGGGTTATGGAGTATGTTTGGGTGGGGGTGGGGTCGCCAATATCCGCAACTTACACATTCATACGCTATCTGGCTCTCTACGGTACAGCTGGGATGCCCCAGGATACGAGTATTCTACCATTCAACACGCGACTCACAATTGGTTCTCCAGTGAGAGTGTGGGATCTACCCTTTCCCCCAGTGTCGGGGGGAGGTCCAGGCTAGGATGCTTCAGAGCCTTCAGGTTGCCGCTGGAGAGACGGTTGTGGACCCGGACTTTTTCGTCCTTCGAGGGAGAGAGGTGAATCTTGTCAGCGCCATCAAACTGAACTGAGGAGAAAAGAGTGAGCAGCTGCTTACTAAAGAAATCCCATGTGTTCAAGAAAACAGGGAAATTAGCTTTCAAATAATCAAGAGAGAAAATTAAGTCTTAGCGACATTTGCTGATCCAAAAGTGCAAATATCCACTTTGAAAACACTGAGGTGATAGGGCACACTGCTTAGCCCATTGCGTGTCTTGCAAAAATTTCCTTATGTTTAAAAGCAGAATTATTATTAATAAAAACAAACAATAACACCAGAAAACCCAGAACACAACAGACTCCAAGTAAACATCAGTGCTAGGCACGTGGAATGTTATAGATCATCATTACTCTTAGAGGCGAAAAGTTTTACATACAGGCTTATTCAGGGGCTGGTGTGGAGTGGGACACACAGTTGATGATGATGATAATAATCATCATCATCTTTGCATCAAGTCGTTGAGACGTCTCAAAGCTCTTCTCATAAATTATTGTATAGCAGATTGACTGTGTTTTGTGGGCGAAACGCAGCAGCTAATTGCGCACAGCAGTGTTCCACAAACATAAAAATAATCATTGCCATACATGTCTGAACAGTCATACCAGGTTGTTGTCACTCACTGAAAAGTACTGAAACTCCAGCTCTTGATTCAACAGGTTTTAAATGCTGAGATTGTCAGATGGCAAACATTTTTTTTAGTAAATGCATAATGCGTACAGGCCATGGGTACGCAGCAGGACAAACCCAGCTAAGGATCAGTAAGAGTATAATCTGCCTCACTGTAATCTCAATTATAACAGGCAACTGGAAGATGCGAGTGTCCATCGCACAACTTCACCCAGGTTTTCAGGATCTATAGAAGCTGGGAGAGCAACTTCTGCATCAGTGCATCGTGTTCCTCTCCTCTCCTGAAGTCGCTGACCTTTGCAGGTAAGCGAGTCAGAGTTCCTCCTTCACCTTGTCCAAGTGATCATGCTTTATGTGTTTGACTGTGCAACTGCTGGTTATTGGACCATAGTAACATCAATCATATCGAGATAGTTAAGAAGGATCGCAATACCGGGAAAGAGATGGAGGTAATCTGCTGTCATCAGTCAGTAACAGAGGTGCCAAAGAGCCTACTGATATGGTAGTAATCAACTCTTAGGATGAATAATAATAATTCTTGCATTTGATACACATTATCAAAATGTCTGAAAGTGTACTACATAATTTACTGTGTGGTGTAGTGACTGTAGGCAAACAGTGCAGCCATTTTGCACAAAGCAATGCCCCACAAATAGCCATGAGGGGGGGAAAAGAAAAAGAGAGACTCGCTGGATATATTTACTCCTGTTCTGAATTTTTGTAACTGTGTGAGACAAACACCACCATGGGTACAGAGAGGGAATTCAAGGCTATAATCTAATGATGGGATTCAGATTTCACAAACCACTGAAGCCTCATTCTTGTGGTTTCTGACATCATTTGAATTATAGCTGTGCGACTCACTCGCTATTCATTACTCTATCTTTAGAAATCACTCACTGCGTTCAGAACAGTGTTGATTATTTCTGACTTTTACTTTCCTTATTTTGCACAGAAACAAAGGAAAACAGGATACTCGTTAAGACTTAGCTCAGGACAGTTCAGAAAACCCATCTGAAGAGTCTCCCTTCAGTGCAGCATAAAGATCTTTTAAGAAACCATTGGCATAAATATTGTTTTCCTCTTCCAACTTGGATAATTTAGTGTTGGGGCAGGGAGGGGTGGTTGGATACCAACATTCTTCCTTTCTCCCCTTCTAAATGTACCTATGATTCGTGCTGAGATAGAATTCCATTGGGGTTTCCAACCATTCACCCAAATTTTCATTGTACATGTATGAGCCCCGCCTGCAGCTGACAATGGAGCCCAATCCACCCTTCACCAAACACAGGCCCTTTTCTACCAAGCTCACTGCACCTCTATCTAGTAGGTCTGAGACCAGTCGAGCCAGCGGTTGGAACCACATATACCCCAGCCAAGGTCTTTAATGCTGATCCATAACTCTCCTCTCTCCCACAAGCAGTCAAATAAGGCACCGATATTCACTAAGAGGGTGACACATGACAATTAGGCATTTAGGTGAAATAATAATAATAATCATTGCATTTGATATAGCACCTTATCGGGTCATTAAGACATCTTACAGCACTTCACAGAATATACTATGAAAAGTTAATTGACTGTATAGTTTGTGGGCGATAACCAGATAAAATTGCCCTCCCCAAGTACAAAGGGAGCAAACCTGGAACCCTTGGAAGAGCTTAAGAAAGAAAAACACAAAGACTCACACAATCGCACCCACCAAGCATTGCACAGGAGCGATTTCATTGTCCTATATCTCTCCAAGATTCATGACAACCAAACTGCTAGCTTGCAGAAGAGGGCAAATTTAAGAGCACCGACTTTGAATAGAATTCATCTCTATTCACATAGCAGGAGCTCACTGGAAGCCTGCTGTCTGGGGGGGAGAGGACTAATCCCTCAGTCAAACCCCCAGGAACAGGTGCCTAAGATAGCCTGAAGGGCTTCACTGGTTGATCCAGTAATCACTGCCTTGATTGTTAGGAACATTGAACCGTGCAGCACACATTTAGGCAAAGTTGTCACTGTGATTGGCTGCATTAAGCTAATTAAAGAAGCTTGGGACAATCGATTAAAATCACTGACTGAAAGGAATCCACTTTCCTTGCATTGCTTTTCTGGGGGTAATAATCCCTTCAAAAAATAATGATAATTAGGTCAGCGAAACCACGACTGTTTGTGGGACACCGCTGTGCGCAATGGCTGATGCGTTTCGCCCACAAATTATACAGTCAAATTCACAGTATATTCTGTGAAGCTCTTTGTGGCTTCTCAAAGACACGATGAGATGCTATATCAAATGAAAAGATCATTATTATTATCCAAATGTGTGTGTCACTGCGCTGAGCTGGACGATGCTTTTCGACACACTGTCTTCTCACAGACTTCTGTTTAATTACCCCAGCCTCACCACCGCCCGATCTGTTCTGTAATAATCTTACAAACCAATTTTACCATTATCAGTACGGAGGCAGCCAGTTTGAATGATGAACGATGGGAAGCGACACGAGAATAAAGCCAGATAAAATTGCTCTCCCCGACCCAGTTGTTCCGACGAGTACATTTCCAGCTGTTGTCTAAATCCCTTGCAGTACTAGAAGTGATGGGAATAAATAACCCAACACTTGGTAAAATTGGTAAAAATCAATCGCTGCTGTGGGACAGGCAAGTGAAGGCCCTGATAGATATCTATACGTTTGTTAAAAGAGAGAATTTTTTAAAAGAAAAAAGAAAAATATAAGCTAGAACACAATTGCCAGCTAGTTTAAAATAAAATGCAATAAAATTACTTTTCTAAGGCGGAATTAACAGCAGTCCCATCACTTTCAGTATCCAGACAATTGGGTCTATCGCACGGCAATCAAGAGCACCAGAGATCTTTCCATTACATGTTTATAATGGAATTTCCCATTGTGGAGAGTGAAGTAATTTGAAAAAGCTAATAGAACGCGAGGATATATAGCCAGCACAGAGTCTTTAAATTCTTTTAAAAAGGAATCAGATGGCTGCTTGGGAAAGAATATTAAAGGGTGGAGAATGGGATTAGACTATGTGGCTCGTGTGGGGAAACAACTCCCGATGGCATGAATGGCTTTGTTTTTGTGCTGTGACGCTGTATGATAGATTCCACAAACAATACAATACAACAGGAATACAATGCACTGATCAGACTCCACCCGATATTGTAAATGTCATCAACTAAAGATAGACTTCCATTAAAAAACTAGCAGGAAAGAACTACAAGGTAGTTGCCACATGTAAAGGGAATGAGCTGTGGAGAAAGATTAGAGAATCATTGTAAGTTTCACAGACTAAAAAGAGGGTTGGTTGACCAGAACTAATCCAAGCACTGTGTATAAAACACTCAATGATAATAGATAAGAACCTCTTTTCACAAAGTGCAATAGACATGTGGAATTATTTACCAGGGAGGACTATTAAAGCGGGCAGTATAAATGGATACAGAGACAACAAGGTGCATTTCTGAAAAGAGGTGTGATTGAGAGACAGGGTGAGATGGAGGGTGATTGAGAGACAGAGCGAGATGGAAAGATTGAGGAAAGATGAGATAATGGATAATGGATACATGTTACAAACCCAAAAAGGGGCACAACCTGCAGGATGACAACAATAATAACTTCCGGTTCCTAAAGAATCTTTAATTTTTAGGGAATGTGAAGAACAATTTAAAAAATAAATGGGGGGGGAATGAAGACATCTCTTTTGAAAGAGACTGCCCAGTGCCTTGGGATGTTCTCCTGACGTGAAAGGCGCTTTATAAATGCAAATTGTTGTTTGTTGTTGTTAATCTGATAGAGAGTTAAAAGCTTAATGGAATTTGCAGCACAACACTGGCTTAGCAAAGCCACGAGGGTGACTTACTCTGCTTTGTACAGCCTGTCGCATCTTCCGCTGTGTGTGACGATGATCAAAGTGCAACAACTTATTACATGATGAGCTACTGAGCTTTGCAGAAGGAAAAATTTATCAGGCGTGAAACAGCGTGACACACATCAGCAGGAGCGTGTCAAACTTGTTAATTACAGACACTGCCCCTTTGCTCTCAACATGTTTGCTTTTCACCCACATAAACCAAGCCGTCACTTTGCGTCAGCAATGTTTGCATCTTAATTGCCTTTTTTTCCATTGGCCTTTTTTTGTATGACCTGCAGCTCATTCCTAACTTTGGTAATAACTGTTCTGAGGTCCAAAATTCCTCAAGGTCTCAGCCTTAAAACTATGGCGTGATGACATTTGGATTTTTTAAGTGCACACTTTTACTCACTATCCTCCCCATCAACCCCCCCCCCCCCCCCACACACACACACACACACAGATTGAGCTGCAGAAGTAGAATGATGGTGGAACAGGCTCAAGGGGCTGAATGGTCTACTCCTGTTCCATAGCATTCCCTTCTTGTGGAATGGGCAAGCCATGAGTTGAGACCTCAGCTACTTAACTGATCTGCCGAAAACCACTGGGGAGGACCCTGCAATGTGGTTTGACAATCTCCCTGAAGCTGGTTCCAATACAACCGCCTTCACATTGGAACCTCAGTGTTGCTACTTTTTGATTTGTACCTCTGCAGAAATGACCACGAGCCTTTTTTGAAAATAACGTCAACTAAGAAACTAAGTTTACACAAAAAGTGAGGAAAGTTAACATTTTTAAAAAAAAAAATGTTTATTTATGTACAAATTAATCTTGTGTTTTGTCACATTTATACAACAGATCATGGAGGGCAAAAAAAATAGTACACACTGCATTCCTCTACTGGAGTGGAGCTTGGCATGCGATCGCCTAGTCGGGTTTCCAGATAGCAGAGCATTACAGGGAAATCATCCAGGTTAATTCAACGGAATAACGCTGACAGAACAAAGCTGTGTCAGGCACTGATTAAAGTCTCATCAGAAAAAGTCTAGTGACCGACTTGAGTGTATGTTAGCTTGAAGTCGACATGCTAGCATACAGTGTTAGCATACAGCTTACATGCCTCCAATGGTTTTAGTGTTAGCATGCAGTTGGCATGCCCGGGTTAGTAATAGCACGTGGCTGACATTCATGTTAGCATGCGGTTGACATGCTTACATTATTAAACATACAGCTGGCATGCCAACATCACTGATAGTGTGCAGTTCACACACCAGCATTAGTATTAACTTGTGGGTGACACGCCTGGATTTTTCACCTTCCATTTTGCACTGTTGGAATGTTTGTACTCGTGTGTATTAGGTAAAGACAAGCACAGCTGCAGATTAAGGTATTTGAAAGCTAATCATTTTGCTTTCCACTTAAATCTGATTTATGCAGCGAAAAGTAAAAATTGGTTGAAATACCAACAAAAATCAAAAAGTAGTATCTGGGTATGTAATGTTCAGCCCGAACCTGCCCCTGTATTGCTATCAACCAATTTCATCATCTTTCCAGATGTACTATACAAAAGGACCTTTGTTCATGAACAGGAAAACTCCAGCAGAATTTCTCGCTCGACCAATATGATCCAGTCATTAAGTTATCACTTGTGATGCAGCTAACACACGACCCAGCTTTATATTGTTCAAAATGAGACTTGTTCTCAATGGAGACTTCCTCAGATATCAAACAGTCTATAGTAATAATCCTTGCATTTGATAGAGCAACTTTCACGTCAGGAAGACGTTTCATGACTTGCTGTAAAGTGTAGTGACAGTGTATTTTGTAGGCAAATAATTTATGGGCAAATAAAAGTGAAATTCCAATGCAGCTTCACATGATTCAATTACTCACCATCTCACCTTTTCCCTCAGTCACTTCTTAAATATTAATTAACTATTAATCGCAAGCAAGAGACCTGGGTTTGATTCCCGGTAGGACGAAACCTTGGGCAAGTTTCCTTATTCCACACGCCTGATAATAATCCCTCAAGAAAACATATAATAATAATTTGGTCATTCAATCCACGACTGTTTGTGGAACGCTGCTGTGCACAATTGGCTGCCGCGTTTCGCCCACAAAATATACAGTCAATTCAGTTTACAGTATATTCTGTGAAGCGCTTTGAGACATCTAGAAGACGTAAAAAGCACTATATCAAATGCAAGGATTATTTATTATATATTTATTTATAATCGAATTGTCTTCTCCGTTCCCAATACAATTGCTCACTTGGCAAAACAATTGTTTATTGAGAAACTGAGCCATGCAGACCAGGAAGGTTCAAGATGGATTGCATGGTCTGTTGAGTTTGTTGATCTCATCCAGACTAAAAATAGGGACCACTATAATTAGTCTCATCAGCCAGAGCTGAGGGAGAATAAATCAGCCATGCCAATACCCACCGACACTCAGTGGGTGTGTCTCTCATTGATTGCTAATACCAGTCAACTGTTTGCTGTGTACTTATAATGGAAATCCTATTGTTAAGTTGCTGATTTTAGCGATCAGCACCCTAAAACAAATGGCACTTATATAGCAGGACAAAATCTTGAAATGTTTTACAAAGTCAATGTGGATCAACGAGCAGAGTGGGAAGAAATGGTGAGGGCGTTGGGCGAAGGCATGATCGAAGAGATGAGATTTAAGAGACTTGAAGGCAGGGTGAGAGGGTGAAACGTGAGAGGAGAGAGTTCCAGAGAGCAGGTGTAGTGTTGCAGGCTCGGCCGCTAATGCTCAGCCAGGAGACCGAGGAGTTGGAGTCCTAGAATTTGTCAGTGCCGCAACCTCAATTGGTGTAACATGTTAATGTGAAGTGCAGTGTTGTACCACATTGTGCTTAATGGCCGGCATTCTTCACAAGAGAAATCTTGGCTCACAATCAGAGTTTTAAGGTCACATACTCAAGAGATTGATCAGCCAAACCAGGGGGAAAAAGGTCACTCACTACTTGTGTCAAATCTTTTCAGAATCCTGATCACCTCAAACCTGAACATCCTTCAACCTCCTCAGCACCAGACAGATTTGACAGATACTTATATCAAAAGGTATGGGGGAAGCGAGTGGGAATAGATTGAGTGGCTCACGTGGACGAAAACACCAGCATTGATGTGGTGGATGAATGGCCTGGATCTGTGACCACCTTTCTTGCCCTTCTCAGCCTGCACCTGCTGTTGACCAGCTATGAAGCAGAGCTGCTGGCAGCCGTCGGGAGATTCCACAGACTGTATATTTGGCAAAAGATCAAACCATGGCACAAGGCGTGACCTGCGATGATATACACAATATGGAGGAGGGAGGAAGGGAGGGAGGTGGAACCTAAACGACAAGTCTTCACTTAAAGCAGTTGCACTTTAGACTGTAACTCATTGAATTCTTGGACCCACCACTGCTGTCTTCCTGAGGGGGCTGTGAGTGCGGTTGATGGTGTGGATGTGGCAGATGGCAGTGAGAAGCTGGGACGTCCCCTTCTGGTTTCGCCGTTCCGCTGTCCAGTTGTCCTACGGGCGGAGGCCAGGGCAGCTCTTTTATTACCTTAATCTCTACTGCAGAGGTCAGCGTGGGTGGGGGAGGGGAAAGGTGGGGGAAACAAGAGAAAGAAGAAAAGGGAGAAAAACAGACAGATCAGAACAGGTGAGCAAGGCTGAGCAGAAAAGTCTTAAGATTTTTTTATAAGTAAAAGAAACAGGATTTTAGACAAAGTTGGAAAGTAAAAGGTCTCGCTATGATGAGCATAACCCAAAGAACTTGCATTTTTATTGTGCCTTATCAAGTCAAAACATCTCAAAGCACTTCACCTGCATGTAACTGTAGCCAAGTGTAGTGACTGTTTTTGTGAGCAGAAACAGCAGGCAGTTTGCACACAGCAAGGTCCCATAAACAGCCATGAAGTGAACGATCAATTTATCATCTGGAGTACTTCTGGTCAGCGCAGTGGGAGAAACTGCTTTCTCTTTTCCAATAGTATATCACAAGATCTTTAACAACCAACTGAACATGCAAACAGATAAGCCAATAGTACATTACTGTGTCAGCTTCAACTGTGAGCCCATGGGGTTTGAAAATATTTGACTATCATTTATTATTAAGGATGTATTAGTTATCTTGGTGGAGTCCTGTAGCTCAGAGTTACAGCACTCGCCTGGCAAGCGAGAGACCTGGGTTCAATTCCCGGCAGGGCAAAACCTTGGGCAAGTTTCCTTACTCCACACCCCTGATAATAACCCCTCAAGAGAAAAAAAACAATAATAAATTGGTCATTTCAATCCACGAATGTTTGTGGGACACTGCTGTGTGCAATTGGCTGCTGCGTTTTGCCCACACATATAGAGTCAATTCACTTTATAGTATATTCTGTGAAGTGCTTTGAGACGTCTAGAAGATGTGAACAGTGCTATATCAAGTGCAAGGACTACTATTATTTTTACTATATCTTCACTTCCATATATAACATTAGAGGAACTGAGCTGTAAACACAAGATGCTTCTGTGCCTCCTCTTAGGACTAAAATATGTGTGTTATGAACAGCCACTAGATGTAAAGCCTTTAATAAGGTCGTCACAGCCCACTGCACGCATGGTCAGTCATTCACAGAGGACAGACTAATTTGATAGAAAATGCAGCAGTGATGGGGCAGAAGGTTACAGACATTTCTAATTTGAGGAAGCGTTACAGAATAAGTTAAAAGCTTACATTTCTGAGACAGTGGCAGACAATTACTATCTCCTCAGTTTTACATTTCACTGACCTCCCTCCATGTTCTCGGCTGACAGTCATCTAGACTCTAATATTGTTGCCGCTTGTGAGGACAACTGTTGTGAGTTTGGCTCTGTCCTGACTCAGAGTTTACTCTCCCAACCCACAATAATAATGATAATAATAACAATAATCCTTGCATTTGATATTGTACCTTATCACATCTTTCTGGCTCTCAGTGTCCAGGCTCTTACATCAAGAGTGGCCACTCAGGAGAGGTGTTATACACAGGTTATATAAATGGTTATTAGCTTTTTCTCTAGTTAGATTTTTAGTTTAACTACAAGAATGGTTGCTACACTTGACAGAAATTATTTGTGAATCGCTTTGTGATGTAGATTGACGTGACAAGCGTAATAAATTGCAACTGCTCTCTTACTTCTAATGGTAAGTTTCACCAATGTATTTAAAACTATACAAGGGACCCTTTGAATTCCTTTAGATTTCAGTTTCTGAGAACACACTGCTTTATAATCACTTTCAAAACTGATTTGCCTCTTCAATACGCAATTACATTTCCTGCAATAAGCTATTTCATAATGAGTTAAGAACACTGGGGTGAAATTTGCTACGTCATAGAGTGTAGAATATTACAACACAGAAGGGACCATTCAGCCTAACATGCCTGTGCCAGCTCTTTTAAAGAGTTACCAACTAGTCCCACTCCCCTGCTCTCACCCCATCTCCCTGCAAATTTGTCCTTTTTAAGTACCTTTCTAATTCCCTTTAGAAAGCTAATATCAAATCTGCTTCCACCGCTCTTTCAGGCAGTGCATTCCAGACCATAACATAAAAACATAGCGTAAAAAAAGTCTCCTCGTCTCTTCTCTGGTTCTTTTGCCAATTATTTTAAATCTGTGTCCTCTGGTTACCAACCCCCCCCCCCCCCCCCCACCCTCGCAAGAGGAAACAGTTTCTCCCTATAATTTTGAACACTTATTTTAAATGTCCCGTCAACCTTCTCTGCTCTAAACGAGAATACCAGGAAAACAAAGGAGAATTCCGAAAAACTTTAACTCACTGTAATTACACAATCGTGGATGGTTAAACTGCAGACATTATATAAGACAATCTACGTGAAACACTTGTGGTAGACTGTCCTGCCCTCACTAATTCATACAAATGTAGAGTTTTTCCCTGTTTTCCTGGCTAATAGTCCTCCCCTAATCCAACTTTACATCAATTGGCTGCTTTATTTATGGGACGTCACAGGTTACAAATTAGCTGCCGCATTTGCTTAATAACATTCACTTCAGTTTCCAATCAATTATACTTTGTGAAGTGTTTACATGAAAAGGCATTTTATAAATGCACGTTATTATAAGAGACAGTATTGCCCAAGCACAAACCCAGTTAATAGTGCAATGTCTCTCAAACCTCTGGAAGCTTTCACTGTGCTGCATTTCACTCGTCTTTCCCTGACATCTGTGTGAGTGCTCCACATGGCATGTTTTGATCCAACATCATGGTTCTGAATGGTTCTTTTTTTACTCCAGCCTTCAGGCGTTTGATACTAATGCCTGACTCTTCTTATTGTCCTTCCCTGGTCTACTATTTTGACGGGCTCTACTTTGAAACATCTTCTAAGTGCTCTGTACAATGGGCTGAATGAACACGACAAGGCAGGCGACGCATATGTTTCTTTGAACCAGGTGCCCTTTTGTAAAGGAGTTTCTGAGTCATGTAAAAACAAGGTGGAATTTATCAAGATGTTGTGTAAAGCAGGAGTCTCACTCTGTCATCACAGCTGAGCTCAGTCTCGAGGTGTATAACAAACATCTTTACGTAATATTATTGTCCAACATTAAAAAGCAAAACCTAACCATGATCAACATCCTCCAATTTGCAATTATCATTACCCCATTAATATTAATCCTTACATTTGATATAGCAGCACTGAAACGTCTCAAAGTGCTTTGCTGGATTTACTGTAAATTATACTGACTGCGTAAATTATAGGCAAATGCGGAAACGAATTTGCGCACAGCAATGTCCTATAAACAGCCATGGGGTGAAAGGACCTATTTCATCTGAGGAAGTGTTAGCCAGGACATCGGCAGAAACTCATTTCTCTTTTCAAGCAGTGTATGGGATGTTTAACATCCAGTTGAACAGGCTGACTGAACGTTGGTTTAATGTCTGATCTGAAGTACAGCACTTCCAAAAATACAACACTCCCCAGGACTGCACTGGAGTGTCAGGTCAGCCTGGATTGTGAGTTCAAAATCCTGAAGTGGGAGGTAGAACCCACAACCTCTGATTCGAAGGCAAAGTGTTACTAAATGAACCAGGCTGACATTAAAGATATAAACTGAAGCATTTTAAAATCACGTCAGATTTATTTCTAAGCACTCAGAGACAAACTCACAAAACTTACCAACGAGAGTGGAATAACGTTCAATTCTGGAGAGTATTCAGAAGCGGGAAACTTGGCTTATTTTATTTCCACTGCCCAGCCCAAGAACTGTAGCCTCCAACCGTTGACCTGGCCTCAGATCAACTAACTCAGTACAGGCCAACAATCAGAACCCAAGAAACTTCCTTGTCTGCGCTGCTCATTTCCAGGATGGAAATGGCTTTACCAACAGAGCTAATAATGTAATGGACAACGGAATCAGTGGTTATATTATTTTCTCCAGGAAAGCAAACACAACATAAGTCATTGCACAACCCCATAAAATAATTAACAACAGCAAAAATTCAGTTCCCTTTATAATTACTTCCTTTACTTGCATTCCTCAGAAGCTATTTATAGCAAAGCTGTGTTTAAACGCTAAATGGCATTGTTCTCAATGTCTGCTACATGCACCGGGCCTGTTTATTGTAATGATGGAAGTTGCTAAATATGGGCGTTGGTCCTTACTGGAAAAATTAACAGGACACGACTGGCTTTGAGCATGTTGCTATAGGGATTAAACGTGTTTGGAAACGTCAGAGAAAAACTGTATTGTTAGGCAAAACAAACTGCACAAAAATTTACTTGTAAGCAAACTGAAAAATGAATAATATTTTCCCCTATTGATTCTGCAGTTATTAAACGTTCTCTGGTCTAGTAAGTAAAAGCATCAATTTTTGCAGCACTGAGACATATGGACCAGAAGGTCCCAGACTCGATTGAGTTAGTTAATCCTGCACTGCATAGTGGTTGTCAAAGAGAACCCTGGCTTTGTTGAGTTACTGACTGCAGATGGGCTGCGCTGGGAGGTATAATTAGCCTCAGTGGGTTAGGGGCAGAATAAGAGAAAGGAGGAATTGGTCAGGATTCCCATTCCTGCTAGCAAGAAATGAAAATGCCCACAGAGTGCCAGTCCACATTCCACTTCATTATTTACCTTGGCACACGGGATAGTGCTGGTCATAGTTCTTGGTCGTAATGTGAGCATTGTTTAGTGAAATTGGAGGGAAAATTCAATATTCCTAACCGCATTTGGTCCCTAGATTATCGCCAGGGATAATGAAGGAAGATACAGAAATTACAATTAAAATGTGTCCTTAAGACCTGTCCTTAATGACAGATTCACAACTGAAGGGCTGAGGATTGAATTTCCGGTGTGATCTTCTAACCTTCAAATTATTAAATTGGCATCTGGAAAACAAACAAAGTTACCAAGCACTGAATTAAAGACTTTTCACATCTTTCACTCACTATTTATTTCAAGTAAAGAGAGAGGATTATTTACTCTCAGGATTTTTTTCTCCAGATGTATTGAGTATCATTTGGTAACAGACCTTTGCCAAATCATATTGAACTAGCCCAGGGTAGGGTTAATACTGATCGAACCTCATTATG